ATGATCTGATGGGAAGTCCCTCCAGGCTAAATTATTGGACTGGGAGCATCAAATGACTGGAGGTAGAATTAAATAAACCATATCTAACGCTTAAGACCTGTCACAGATTTGTTTTTTGAGCACAAATGTCCACTTACACAATGATCATATCAGCTAAACACATACAAGCTACAAGAAAATTACATCTGTTAATTTGGATAATGATCTGATGGGAAGTCCCTCCAGGCTAAATTATTGGACTGGGAGCATCAAATGACTGGAGGTAGAATTAAATAAACCATATCTAACGCTTAAGACCTGTCACAGATTTGTTTTTTGAGCACAAATGTCCACTTACACAATGATCATATCAGCTAAACACATACAAGCTACAAGAAAATTACATCTGTTAATTTGGATAACATTATCTCCAAATCATCTTGCGTGAATACACTGTTGTGTTCTTGCATTACTTGGAGAATATGACAAAGATAGGTTCATCACCTGTCAACTAAAGGTTATTCTCTCCACTCTACACATTATAAAATGTGTAATTTTTTCAATTTTTCCAATTTAGAAAAATGGAAAAATTTACAACTATCACTATTAGGAAGGATTGCAGCAATTAAAATGAACATCCTGCCAAAACTACTCTTTCTATTTCAAACAGTGCCAGTGAAAATAGAGAAGAAATATTTCGATGACCTAAACAAGGTGATATTAACATTTATCTGGCAAGGAAAGGAAGCCAGAATTAAACTAAAGATGTTGCAAGAATCCAAGGAAAATGGAGGCTTTGGCTTACCAGATTGGACTTTATATTATCAGTGATCTATCCTAATACGGCTGAAAGAATGGATTAGTCTGAGAAACAAAAGACTTTTGTATTTAGAGAGGCATGATTTACAGTTGGGTTGGCATGCCTTTTTATGGTACCAGAAAGCCAAAACCCACAGGTACTTTCAAAACCATTATATCAGAAATTCATTGTACATAATCCAGGAAAAAATAAAAATGAAAATGTACACAAAAATACCAGGATGGGTTTCACCTATAGAAGCATTCGTACAAACCCAATCTTCTGAACTTTGAAAAAATCTTGACATATACAGATACGTTAGATATAGATAAGAGACTAAAGTTGAAAAAAGATCTGATAGACCAGGGATTAGACTCATCTTGGTGGCCCATAATGCAATTACAATCTAGATATGAAAGAGATTTAAAACTATATGATTTCTGTAAAGAACAGACAACGCTTGACCAAATAATGTTAACATCAGATAATAAACTAAGCGGGAAAACATATAAATTTCTCTTAAATTAGAAAATGGCCAATGAACAAGTCAAAGAAACAATGGTACAATGGGCAAAAAACTTTGGATACAATATTGATCTTGAAAAATGGGAAAAGTCGTGGACTAGAAACTATAAAATGACAATGGCATCATCTTATAAAGAGAATTTATACAAAATGTTTTATAGATGGCATTTACCACCTGATAGACTAGCTAAAATGGTTTCTAATTAGTCAAGTAAATGCTGGAAATGTCAAAAAACTGGAACTTACTATCACCTTGGGTGGACATGTGATAAAGCAAAAAGGTTTTGGATAAAAATCCACATATGGCTTGTTCAAATAATCAAAAAACATGTGGATTTTAAGCCAGAATTCTATTAGGTATAATACCAGAAAATGTTGATAAACAAAATGTATATTTAATATTGCATATTTTAACAGCGCAAGGGTTATATTTGCACAGTACTGGAAGAATGAAGAAACACCTCCAGATGAAGAAATAATTAAAAAGATACTGGACTGCGCAGAAATGGACAGACTGGCATTAAAAATCAAAGGGAACGAAGATTTAGAATCTTATCAAATTTGTTTTATCAATGGCTAGAAGCACGTTGCATACATTAAGGACTTAATCTGTATTGTAGATGTATCAACAAATGACTATAAGCGGAACCCAGGGGACACAATGTTAAACAAACGCAAACAGACTTTGTAAATAATAATAAGACATTTTTTAAAAAGTGTAATTTTAAAAGTAGGAAAATTTACCATAACGCAGTATAGAATTTTAATAGTAGTATGATTTGAAAACCTTTTTTAAAAATTACAATTCAGAGTCACCTTTTTCAAAATGGATACCCATTCAAAATAATCCTTCCAAAATATGTAAAAGTGAATTTGTAACAAAGATAAGAAGATTTTAGAAATGGTAGTGTGCTGAATCTGGCTGTCCCTTACAGCTACTAACTACACAATACAGTATGTATAAAATCACTGAGATTGTCTGTCTTTCCCATTTGTCTACAATCTATTGATATACACACCTAAACAAAACGAATGTACAGGCTATGAATCAGATTTTAAAACATTGTAATTCCATGCTACCTTATCCATATTTGTCTTACCACAAATCTAATTACAGGATATCTAACAAAGTCTAATTAATCTAAGTAAACTAGATAATTAGGTGCTTTATTACATCTACAAGATATTACTGTGACTGCTATAGTTCTACTAAGGACAATGTTGAAAATATAACAGTCATGGCAATCCACATATGTTACTATTTCAACTGACAGTTTTAAAAGACCTTTTGCCTCCTTTATGATCTCAAATCTGATATGCTTCAAATTTCTCATCTTTCATTTCTGATAAATGAAGTTTCCCTTTATATCACTAGATTAAAATAAAGTGCTGAATAATAAATAAAATTTAAAAACATATTATTATTGGTAATCTACAGTCCCATTGGCCCACAAATCTGAACCTATCATTCTAAAACATAAACCAAATGTACATAAAGGAATAGCTCTCGACTCCTGGGGCACCAGATGTTTTGGTCTTCAAATCTCAGAAGCCCCAGACAGCAAGGGCTGACTATGAGGGATTCTGGCAGTCAAAGTCCAAAATATTTGAAGGGGCAAAGGTTTTCAGAGGGAAAGCTCCAGCCACTGGGAATAGTTCACATTCTAAAATTCCCAACACAGAAGATCCCCAAAATGAACCATGCTTTAAGATTAGTGAGAGTTTCAGTGTGCAATGACTTGACTTAATCACTGTACAAATGTTTCAAGAGAACATGCCTGCCTACCTAGGATAGAGTCTCCAATGGCTAATCCCTGGAAGCTGAGGCACTTCTGGTTCTAGCTTCACCTCTTGTCCTGAAAAAACTGTGGTACTGGATTTGTTTTCAGTGCAATACTCTTCATTGCAAGAACTTTCTTGTTCTTCTGTATCTCCAAAGAGATCAGGATCATCCTGAATTACATCAATCACAAGAACATCATTTTCATAAGCCTTCATAACATCTGCATAGAAGTTATCTTCTTCTTGCGTCAAGTAATTGCTATATTCATCTTCACTTTTAATTTCTGATGCCAAAACAGTGCCAAATGTTTGATTTTTTGTATCTCCAGCAGTGAAAGAGCTAGAATTATCTTTCCACGTTGATGTTTCCAGCTTACTGTCAAGTGAAGTGCACACCAATTTACCTTTACAGGCTGTTCCTTCTTTAAAATTGCTTTCAGAAGTGTCACTGTTGAATTGGTTTGCGTGTTCCTCCAGTATATTAGTAGAAGTAACCTCCTGGGACTGGAATTGGTGCCCAGATAAAGCCTCTTCACCTTTCCTTACAGAAGCAGTAGGATCTTCCAGAATATCCAGAAGACTGCAAACACTCTTTTCTGGCGATGTAGCATATTCCTTCTTTATAGTTTCATTTTTATCCTTGAGTATAGGAATTCTGAAGTCTGAAAGATTTTCTGTATGTAATTTTTGCAATAACATTTCCTGCTTGACAACTGATATCTTCTGATACTTCATTTTGCCTTTTGCACTCACCAACGTACTACTGTGCTTATCTACAATTTTCCCCCCCTTTATTATATTTCCTTTACTTTTTGCATCTTTTCCTAGAGATTCTGAATCCACTTTTGATTGTTTTCCCATTTTAGTACTAGGTGTACACCTTTTAGGTCTTTCCATACCCATGGAAGTAAATCTATTTTTATTATCAAAGGTTGAAATAACCTTGCCTATACAAAATACAGATTCTGAAGTTGGGCTTTCTTTTATTTTGACATCTGTTATATTATCTGTTAAACCTTTTCTAGTATCTGTCAAAGCCTCATGCAGATCTGTCTGCCCAGGGTTAACTGATGAATCAGTACTCCTTAAAAATCCTTTTTCCAAGTCAGCCATACGACTATCATGAAACCACAAGGAGGTTCTGGCACATGATTCACGTGGCCATACATTTTTACCAGAAATTGGGACTGCTCTTTGACAGCTGTATGGCTGGAAATTCCTCTCAGTTTTACTTGCTCTTTTTATGGTAGGTGACCTTTTCCCTCTTTCCACACCGCTAGCAACAATGCTATCACAGCTACTAATTTTTCCACTGACCAGTAACTCTGCCAGGGAATTAGTATCAGTCACTTTACTGCTAAATTCTGTTTGTGGTTCTGTGCTCTCTAACTCAAGCACATTCTTTCTTCTTCTAAGAACTGCAGATTTCTCAAAGTTACTGGTGTTGCATGTGACTAAGTGTGTCTCCCTCATTTTTTCACTGTTAAGCAAGTTAACAATTTGATTCTGAAGTGTCTGAGGACACTGCTCCTGAAAATCTGGAATACAGTCAAGTGAAGATAAGCAAGTTGTTTCATCACACTTTACTATTTCCAAAACTGAAGAACCCAATGTGTCAGGTTCTTCTTTTATCTGCAGTCCACACTGACCCTGTATATTTGTACTTGTGAAAACGTTCTGGACTATGGATTTTTCTAGTTTTTTTGATATTCTTATCTTTTTGGTTGGCTTTTTATCCACACACCGCTTACTTTCCCTGAAGCGTTTTCCATTTTGGTATTCTGACAACTTGTTACTATTTTGGCACATTTCTTTTTTCACCAGTATGCTTTTTTCTGGCACATACCTTCCAGGTTGCACTACATTTGAGCTACTATTTGAATCATTCTGTCCCATACCCCTACTAGGAGGGAGAACCTTTCCCTGATCATGCACAACATGCAAGGATCGAAAATGATCTCTATAATTTTGAATGGTCTTGATACCAGTAGGTTTTAACAATGCTTTAATGTAACAGCAGTCATGCAGTCTCACTACTGGAATCCTTTCTACTCTGTGTGGCAAGCCACCATGCTTAGAAAGCCACTCTACTTCTTCATCCTGGTGCACTCCTGATTTCTTTTCAGCTACTTTTATATCCAAGAGCTGTGGACATTTGGTGTTTGTAAGAGCACAATTTGTTTCAGACACCTTCCCAAATGAAAGGCTAACAGGATCTTTGTTTTCAGTCTCATCTGATTTAGATACTGGATGATGTGCAGACTGCTCTAGGAAATTCTGTATACTACAATCTTGAGAAATACCAAAAACAGTCTCTGACAGTTTCCCAAGCTGTATGTTTGAAACTTCCAGGGTTTGCTTTCCTGGTTTTAAAAAAAAAGGGGGGGATAATCATTAACTTAGTATTTAATACAGTATAAAATACAAGGCAAATCTTTATCTTACAAGCAGGTTTGCATTTATCAATATATATTTTATGAAAATACCTTTAAAAAGCACGACTCCAGTAGCAGTTTAGTGAATAGTTTTCTTAACATGGAAAGTTCTGATCCACTATGATTGCCATTAGTTATTATAGTAATATGGCTATTGACACATGATATGTTTTATAAAGAATGTTTTAGACTGTTATAATTATTTGGTATTAGGCACCATCACAATGTGCCATTCATTCTTTTTTGGACATCATCTTCCAGAATTCTCCAACCACAATTTTGAGAGTTCTAATCCACAGTCCTACATCTACAGATACCTATATTTTCCTCATGTGGGCCAGAACTTAGTTCCAAGGTTTCACATCTCTGGCCTTGTTAATAAAAAGACACTACTACAATGCATCCTGGTAGCAGAAGGCTCACTGCCCTTTAGGCATGATAGAGGGCACCTTCTAAAAAACTAGCATTCTGAGGATGAACTGTAGCAGCCTCTTTTTTTGACATAAAACAAAAATGGTGAGCAAAATGTAGGTGTCTGCAGATACAAGTTTGTGGGCTGGAACTTTCTAAATTTTGTCTAGGGAATTCTTGAAGAATTCGAGGAGTTGAGACTCTTCCCTCACGACCAAAAACAAAAAACAAAACACCAAAGGCACATCCCAATTTGGTATAATTATTCTGCAGCAACAATGCAGCAATATAATATTTTGGAAAAGAAATGTCATATTAAGAAATGCAAATAAGGCTGAATCCTTTGCAACTGGTGTAATGCAGACTCATGTAGGGCATTATACTCAAGCAGTCTGCATCATGCAAATTGGCTGCACAGTTCATGGTGCACCTGTTATGCAATCAGCCTATGGAATGCCTTCATGAATATCACTTCTCCATTAGTGTGATCCTTCCTACTGCTTGTGCAAATTCAGAGTTAAGCAGGTGTAGTTATACAACAGGATTTCAACCTAAAATTGATAATATACATCCAAATACTACTCAAAGCAAAAACAAATGTCTGCAGAGTTTCAACTGATTGTTCCACTCTGAGTACCAACCCCTTCTTTCAAGCATACTGGCATCTCTTAACAGAATTGGCTTATATTGCACAATCTTCAATATCTGTAATTAGTTAAACATTGTTGTTTCAATGGCTTCATTTTCAAAATAAACTCAGCTGTTATGTGCTCTATTTTTGGTAATTAAAACAAATTTAAAGGAGCAAAAATTTGACTTAATGGAAATTTTAAGGACAACAAAGAACAGCACTTTACCCTTGACTGTCTGCAAGAATTTTACTTCGTCTAAATAATTTAGTTAATATTATCATACTGTCTGCTCCCTCATTCACAAGGATTATCTATTTTATACCACAGATATGCTTTTCACTGCAGAACATACATAAATGTAAACATACAATGCAGGATATAATCACCTAGACAACAATGAACAATGTTCCCAAATTTCAGTCATTTGCCATTTAATCTTCTTTGTATGAACAAACAAATATGCCCAAGGGGAAAACTGTCCTTTTAAAAATCAATTTGTGATACAGGGTGTGTTTTTGTTCAACCAATACCCTAGAAAGAAAAATGTAACATGCTTTTTTTTTTTGTCAAGTCATGATGTAAATAAACCAAAGAGAAGTTTGGCATCAGAACTGGTCCAATGACAGACTTCCACCAAGGGCAGGGAAATTTACTTTCCTCGGAGTAGGAAATACCTCACAGTATGAGAAGTGTACACTCAGAAACAGCAAATGTTCCTTGGGTTCTGGGACAGTTTTACACCCTGGAATACACCAGAACTCTCAACATATAAGAAAATACCTCATAAAACAAGCAGCATAAAGCTTTTCTCCTAACTCACAAATGTGACAAGTTTACCAACTATACAGGAATTTTGCTCAGTTTTTAAATTACATTTTAAAAGGCAGTAGGTTATACTGATTTAAGCTATCAGGAATAAGAGAGTGAACAAAACAGAATTCCACATGGAAGATAATAAACAAATTAAATACATAAAGAAGGAATAAGCATCCTTACTAGATGTTCTGCTCTCTTTTTTAAGTTCAGTTGAAGTCAGAAATTCCTCTTTTCCACCTATCTGTTGCTTACTATCACTCCCTATTCTAGTAACCAGCACATCCTCTGTAAAACAGTCTGCTGCTTGTTCTGTTACCACACTGTTTGCAAAAACGTCCTTCTTACGGTCAGGAACCTCACTAACATACATTTTTGGCTTCCAGTTTAGTTTCTTGCTATTATTTTCACACAACTTTGATTTTAAAAAACCTCTTGTTATCATCCTATGCATTTCTTTTTCTACACCACTTCTACATTTTTTAATCTCTTCATGATTTTCTACACATTTCAATAAACACCGACTCTTTTGTTTTGTAACCTCCACACTTTCCAAAAAATCTGTGATAGTCAGTGCAACAGAAAAATCATGTGTTTTCCTTTCTGGCTCCTGAAGCTCTGTCAACCTCAACATGGAACTATTTGCTTGCCTCTGTGTTCTATCCAGCCGGCTGGACAACTTGGTGGTTTCAAGATTACCACTGAAGTGGGATACAGAAGACCACCTCGCCTTTACTGGATTTCCTGAACAATTTTCAGGGATCGGTAACTGTGATTTACAGTTCTTTTTCCCCTTACACTTCAAGCGGCTGAAGTGTTGAATACTATGTCTACCCCTCCTCTTTGTTTTTTTGTTTTTGTCCTGGTTCTTGGAAGCCTTTTGTTCAGGGAAAACTGGTCCAGCTGTTTTTCTCAAATTCCATGTTTTCTGCTGAGGCTCTTGTTCTGAGAGGGAACAGCTGCTACTTTCCTGCAAGCTGCTTGTTACTTTCTGAGACTTAAGCTCAACTACAGAACTCCTGTCCTCCTTGTGTACATCTTCCTTGTAATGCTCTGATTTTACTAAGGAATGTCTCAGCTTTTTTCTCAAGCTCTCTGTAGCAACTACACAGTTTTTGGTTATTTGTTCTGGTTCCAGCAAGCTATTCATACAATTTTTCTCAATGGTTATGTTTGTTCTATGCAATTCCACTTTCATTGGGGTACTACCTCTTTTCTTGCTAGCCTGTGATGCTAACGTATTTTGCGAAGTAACTATAGAAGCAGTTTGCTTATGTCCTCCTAGAGCATCCTTCAATTTCTTTCTTTCCATTAAAAACTTTTTGTCTTCCAAGTTTATGTCTACAACATGTTTATATTTCACTGCCATGGTACTACTTTCCCCACTTCTCTTGCTTTTAAAGACAAGCCCTTGTTTCTTTTTTGCTGCTTCATTAAGAGTTCCCCAAAAATATGAGTGTGTTGTCTGCTCAAGTTCCTAAGTTTTACCAAGAGAGACAAATTGCCTGTTTCTGCAACTTTGATTTCTCTGAGATTTAATGATAACAACTATGGTTGGGTGCTCTGGATTGTCGCCCAGATCATGAAAACAAATAAAATGAAGTGTGTTCTTGCTTATTACTCTGGCTTTTTTGCACAACCCTGGAATAAACTACCCAAACGAATAAGCTTTTCCGACAGGTGCATTTTCATTATCTGTAAATCATACAACCAATCACAACCTTCTCCACAAAATCAGGCTTACCTATGATTTCTTAAATCAACAGCGTTATAAATGAACCCGTTCTATGTCAGCAATAAACCTCCTAACTTTCATCTTACTGGCTGCCCAAAAAGTCTCAAACTTAAAATATTTTTTAATCGAAAGAATTAAGAGACGCTTAAAGGATTTCACTTGATGGCCTGCCACGCCACTCGACACTTCTTTTGTCAGGGCACCATTAAAAAAACCATGATCAAAACAGGGACAAAAACAGAGTTTGCGTGTCAACACCAGGGACTCGTCTGAACGACCCCCCCCACTTCGTAAGGATTTACGATTTAAGGTAAGACACGTGGGTCTCGTATTCCGCCTTCTCTGAAACCAACTGGAAACCAACCCCGTTTACTACTCTCAAAAAACTCTCCATTTAACACCCTCGCCTCCATTTAACATCATCACAAATCTAAAGAGCATTGTTCAGGTCGTCGGCCCTACAACATCCCCCCTACAAAAGCTGTCCTTCGAGGAGCCCGCGCGCAACTCCACGCGGCCACTTCCTTTCGCTTACAACTCAACGCCCGCCTTGTAACCAACCCCAATTAAGGCAGGCCCTAAGGCTACTACATCCCATCCCTGCGCATGCTTCGTTTTACAGGCCCGAAAGGAGGACTTTCCGCAACGCCGCCAACTTCTCTCTTCGCGCGGTCGCCACGCCGCCTGCCGCCGAGCCTCCCTTCGCGCACTCACACTCTGAAAGAGAGAAAAGCTGCCGGGCCGGGCGGAGTAAATACGCGGACCGGTAGCGGGAGGGCGCTGGCTGCACGCAAGCGCCTCGGGCGAGAGAGGAGG